CAACAGGACAGTTAAAAGTTTGGTGGAGAGTGCAATCTTGTACATGTTTACTCAAAATTAAGCCCCATTGAAATCAAGGGGCCTTACACCTGGGTGTATGCAAGACTACAGTTTGATTCTCTCCCCAAAGAGTTCAATTTCCATTGAAATTTGTCCATACTGTTTTGTACATAAATAGCTTGTGTGACCTAAAAGGTTCTTGTGAAAGTATCTTGTTCTGTGGTCCAAAGGGATCCCTTTTTATGATTTCCAAGCAAAAGCTCATGTGAAATAATAAAAAAAGATCCCATTCATGCAGTAGCTTGCTGATGATCCACTTACCACTGAAAAATTTTAAAACATAGATTGGATATTTTAATGTTTTAATGGGATTGTTTGTGTATTTTAAATATGGATGTTTGTATTTTAATTCCAGCATATTGGGTTTTTATATTTTCTAAATTTTTTTGAAGCCTATTTTTGCATTAGGTAAATAATAAATAAATAAAATAAATGTATTATTTCAGTGCTTTGATATTTTTGTCAGTTAGTTATGCCACAAGGTCCATTGCTGGCTAGCTGATGGCAAATCTATTTTTTTAATCAAATACACCAGTAATTTTGAGGTCCTTCCTTCCAACCCACTCCAAATTATCTCTTCTACCAACAACAACAACAATTTATACCCTGCCTTTCCTTCCAAAAGAGCCCAGGGTTTAAAGGTTAGACTAAAAACTGATCACCCACATACTATGATTTGTTTGTTTGCTTGTGTGTGTGAAAATATAGGCCTTATACTGAGTCAAGCCACTGGGGCATCTGACTCAGTGTTGTCTCCAGGGCTTAAGGCAGAGGGGTCTCTCTCAGCCCTACCTAGAGATGCTGAGAACCGAACCTCGGACCTTCTGCATGCAAGGCAGATGCGCTACAACTGAACTTAAGCTTCCCCCTAACTTAGATTTTCCTCCAGGAAGTTCATAGTGGCACACACAGTTCTTATCCACAACCCTGTGGAGAAGAACAAGAATAAGAGTGAGACAGAGACTGTGATGAAGTCATCCCATGAGTTTCATGTCTGTGTGGGGATCTGAACCCAGTCTGTGCCACTCTTAACCCAACCCTTCAAGCACTGCCCTGATAGGGAGAAGGCAACCCCTCCACCCAGTCTGGGGGTGGGGGGAACTTCTCAAGATCTCATAAGAAAGTCCATTCATTTCAGCCCTGCCTTAAAAGCAGAGTTGAGCACTGGTCACCATATTCTGGTTGTTTTCAATTATTGAATAAACACGAATGGCAACAAAGCAAAAATCATGAAAGCCATGATTCAGAATCGTCTGTTCTCTTTTTCTTTAATTTTTGACAATGTAGCAACAACAAACTCAATGCACATGCACTTTATTTATTTATGTTTCAGATGGAATAATAATAATAATAGTAGTAGTAGTATTTTTAGTGCATAAAGCCTTAAATGGCCCACAAGCAGATTACCTGAAGGACCACCTTTCCCCTTCTAAAACCACATGGATCACTGCAGTGATCTGGAGAAGCACTCCTGGCCATCCCAAACCCATTTAACTCACGAGCAAATGAAGGCTTTTAGCGTAGTGGCACCAGTACTTTGGAACGCTGTTCCCACTGAAATCAAACAGGCCCCTACAGTTTTCATATTCATCACCTGCTGAAAACGCTTCTGTTCTGCCAAGCATTTTTAGATAATTAATTTGATTTAGCATTGGCCATTTGTTCTGCAGTTTATTATTTTAGCATTTCACATGACGTTTTTATGATCTTATTGTACACCACCACTATTACTATTATTTTAATGAGTTGCTGGATTAGAAATACTCCTACAAATAATCAAATCCTGCAGAATTTATCTGGGATGGATGTTGCTGGACTTCACCCTGAATTAGCACTGGTAAAAAGGTCCCTCCAAATTTTTTTGGAGGATTCCAATGGTCTCTAGTGTGTCAGACTCGTCTGATCATTTCCCCTTGGAACTTCTGGTGAAAAAAGAGAGAAATAATTTACTATCTGTACAAATGTAGTTTGTTTATCTGGCTGAATTCTTCCATGACTTAATCCAAGTTGCTAGTTTTGGTTGGTCACATATAGGGATGAATGAATGTATTAATCTTGGTCCTCATTTTCCCCATCTTCAGTTTGGCTCTCTACTTTTCCGTACCTGTTTGCATGAAAAAAAAACCCCAGTTCTTATGAAAACTCATCAGTATTTTAGTGTACATTTCTCCTAATATACACATTTTTGTATGCACTTTTGCCTAATATATACACATGTTTGCAAAGCAGTTTCCCCCCTATGCAATGCAATTTTTTATGTTATGTTCACTATCACATGCATTCCCCACTCTGGAAGGATGTGTGGATCCAGAAATGGCCTCCACAATCACTTACAGACTCACTGTTAAGACTGTTTTCATGGAAGACAATCTTACTTGGCTACAAGTGATTACTAAAGAAGAAGAAGAATATGCACACTTTATCTTAGTGCACTTTTTTAAAATCATTGCCACATTCAGAAGAATATCTGTGTTTTGGTTTCCATATTGTTACTGAAAGTGTGAATTAGGTAGTTTCCCCTTTAAAAGCAAAACAGATTCCAATTTCTTCCCCCAACCCTCATCAGACAACTCTGAAAACAATATATTCACTGCATTTTCTTAGATCCCAACATTTCAACTAAATTCTTCACATAGCAATAGTTGCTGCTTCAAGCTTAGTTTTTGAGAATGCAAGAAAACCAACCTTCCCTGCTGGCCACTGCTGTTAGCAGGGAAATACGTGGAACTGAGCTCCACTGAAATCTCAAAGAGAAATCCTAAAGCAAACTTTTGTTAGCATTCTAGCCTCGTATAATTCTGTGCAAACAGGTTGCCTAGCCTCAAATCCATGTGCACTTATTTGGGTATAAATCAGTGAAATTTACTTTTGGGAGTGAACAGTTTCAGGCATGGCATTGTTGCCTTCTTAAATCATCAACGATGCTGATGATGCCATTTAAAATGGAAAATGGGTATACACATCTGAAGAAATGGAGCGGCAATGATTAAGCATCGTCAAAAAGCTCAGGTCACAATCCAGGGCTTGGGGCGGGCGGGGGGGGGGGGGGCTGACACAGAATTCAACTCGTGAATTATCATGCAGTTACATTTCTTAAACTTCCATCTCCTACAGCAGCTAACCCCACTGCCCCCACAAAAGAAATTCTTGATTCTCATATATACCCATGGTTTTCAATGGGCATCTGGGATTGCAGCTCTGTTATCGTGCAGGGGCAGATAGATCCCAACCGAGAGCTCCTAGTCCTCATAAAGAAATGTTAAGTAAATTCATTGAAACATTAGTTGAGCTTAGTCTGCTAAGCTTTCAATTGTTTTACCACAGCTTGTGTTTTTGGAAAGAGGATATTGGCTTCTTTTCTAGAAAGTCATTGGGAGGAGGGGGGAAGGAGGTTGATGGTAATCCCTTAGATTTTTCATACATGCACACACATAAATAAAGCAGAAAAGTGGCAGTAAAGGAAAACACACCCAAATACACACACAGAGAGCGCAAAACCTTGGCTTCCTTGAGACGCAAATGTAATGTAATTAGGTACCATCTGGGAGGATTCAAACCACTTCAAAGCATTCTGAGAGAGGAAATATTTTTAAAAGTTAATTCAACACATTGTTCCACACTTGGGTCTCCATCCAACCACCGGCCCCTCAGTTTTATTTTATATTTTTAAAATAGATTTTGAGCAATGCAGAATCACACGTCTTTGAGCGGCTGTAAAGTTTACAGTCTCCTTTCTTGAGCAATTCAGTTGCTCTTATAACTTCCTAGGTGGGAAGGAAAATCCCAGGGTATTTCTGTTTGGTTTTTTTTAAATCCTACAGCGCTGAGACAAGGTCACCACGCCAGACTCCCTCCTTTTTTTTTTTTTAATGGAACTGCTCGACTGAAGTCAAAATCAAGAATCACCTCGTAGCAAATCCCAGGCAGTTCCAGTTGAAATAATGGTTCGCAGAGACCGTTTAACCTTGTAAACGGTATTAATGAACGTGTAGACGGTTGCCAAAGAACCAAGAGGGGAAAAGCAAATGAAGTGATGTGGAAGAATTTATCGCCGCCAGACAGCCAGCTAAACGCCATTCCCTGGATCCAGTCAGATCTTACAGGCCCCTGAACACTCTTATGGGCCCTTCCCCATTCATTTCAAATGAACAATAAGGCCAACTAGGCTATCCGTAGGCCAGTTCTGAGCCACAGAAGAATATTACTGGGTCCCTGTTGGTCCAATCAAATTCTAATTGAGACATAGTTGATAAATTGGTCCAGATTTCAACCAGAAGGAAAACAAAATGGTAGAAGTTGTTAAGAGGTGGGAATATTCAACATTTACATCTCTTTGTGGGTTTGGCACAAAATGCCCATGATGAGCACGGTCACTGTGGGCTGGATTTGACTAAGTTGTTGCACTAGTAGAAGCCAGTGGAACAAGTCCTACTAGTGTAACAGGACTTTCCTACCCCTCCTTCCCCTGTGCACCCCCATGTCCCCTCCCAAACCTGCTCAGGAGGGTCAGGCGAATCCCAGAACAGGTTGCAGGGGAAGGAGTGAGGAGATAGTTCTGCCTAGCAAACAGTAATGCTTGTACTGACAGAACGATCTTCTTAATATGATGTTGAATTCCACGCCATCAATTATGTGGCACTCCTAGTATGTGCCACCCACCAAAATTATAGACCCAAGTCAGTCATGTCCTTTGTTTTCAACAGGTCAACTCTGAGTAGGACTAGCATGGATGACAACCTCATATCTTACCTTGATGGTACCCTGTTCATAATAGAGTTCAAACAAATACAATGAGATCAGTTGCTGTTGCAAAACACAGAGGCACAGGAAGTGCTTTTATACTGAGGCCTATTTTATACTTTTATTCATTGGCCCATTGAGCTCAGTATTGTCTACACTGACCAGCTGCAGCTATCCAGGGTTTCTGACAGTATCCTTCCTGGAGATGCCAGGGATTGAACCTGGCACCTTCTGTGTTCAAGACAGATGCTGTACCACTAAGCCATACTCCTTCCCTAAGATGCTCTTCTTTTTATTGATTGATTTACAACAATTCTAGGCTACCTGTAAGGTGGTTTACCATGTTAAAAGTTAAGCTTGAAATCCTCAAATCAACATGATTAATAAAAAAGCAAGAGGAACCAGGAAGGAAGTGAATTCAGGTACCCATGTTATACTTTGGACCCTATTGTTTTGAGTAAGGGTAGGGAACCTCACTTTAAAGGCTGAATTCAGCTGTCCAGGCCTCTCTGTCTGGCCCCAGAACTCTCCCTGGACCACACTGCTCACTGGAGGAGTTTTTGCCTGGCTGGCTGGTGTCTTAACTGAATGGAACAGCCAAAGGTGTGTGTTAATGTGTAATAAGCAGCCTAGTGTCCAAGATAAATGCCACATTTTCCCTTCTGCCCACCTTTGCCTCTGTCCCTGCCCACTGCTGCCATGTGGCCCTTGGAGAGCTGCTCAGGTGGGAATGTGGCCCTCAAGCTGATATAGATTCCCCCACTTGGTCTGGAGAAACTGACCCTATTCTTCATTGTGCATCTTTCCCACCATTCAAACGAACAAGGGATTCCACACATCATGAGCATCACATGCATTATGACACATGGAGATGGGCTGCACATTTCCTAATTCCCCCCTCCCACATTAAATCACAAAGAATTGGTCTGCTGAAAAAGCTACGAGGGTTTGAGAGGAAGACAGTCACCGATGGCCCCACAGCCATTTTGGCCGAAAGCAATCTCCAACCCGATAATCAAAGAGTTAACTGTATTTGTCAGACAGCCTAGATCAGACCAGGAGAGATAATTAGGAAACAAATTCTGCAAGCTTCTTGAAAGAGGCCAGAGACCTTTGATCTTTATGAACAAGAAAGCCTCACCCAACCCGTTAAGGTTTTGCGGGGTGCAGCACATGCCATGAAAAGAAATCAGATGCAAAGACGATACCTTCCTTGAAAAATCAAGTCACACCTAATCCCATAGCCGCTTCATTACCTTAACCGCCTGCATATGTCTCAATGTATTTTGGCCCCGAGATTAGAGCGGGGAGCAGGGTGGGGTGGAAAGAACGGCTGACACAATAATTAAATCTGCAATTTGCCAACTTTGGCCAATGCGGCTTTGAAATCACCTTTCTAGGAAGTTTTACGGCTTGTTCCATGACATGTATATTGCGGCCATCGGATCCTCAGCTATGCTTTTTTTGGATGACTTTAATGGATTAATAACCAAGTACCGTCGGCTTAAAGGCCGATTTCGTAACCTGCTTCTAATTTGGCTAAAATTGTCCAAACTTCCTCTTTGGTGTTTTTGACCTCCCCCAAATATTTATCCCTCCCAAATCCTAATTGATAGAATCTGTAGCTTAGGCAGAATTTCAGTGTCTCTGGGCTTTTAAAATAAATAAACCACACTTTCTGGGGCAGTTCCCTATTAAAACAGGGCCATTTTGAGGATGACTTTCAGATTCTTTAGAAGTTTTCATACATTGTAAGAGTTCAGTGACAAAAAGCAGGCTTAATGTAGGCCTAGTCTGCTGTAAGTGAACCAGAGTTACATCCTCAGACATCTATGACTTATTTCAGCTGGTATGAAAGAGATCTGGATTCATTTGAGCCAGGACTAGGTCCATATTCATCTTCAAAGCAGGCAAAAGGTCCCAGATTCAACCCTCAGAATCTCCAGGAAGGACTTGAAATGTCTCCTCTCTGAAAGCCTGGAGAGCCACTGCCAGTCAGGGCAGACAATACAGAGCTAAATGGACCAATTGTGCGACTCAGTAGATGGCAACTTCTTATGTTTCCTTAATTACTTGCAATCAGGTTATCTGAAAGATTGCAGGGACAGGCCATGGACCAGCGGCAGAACGTTTGGTTTACATGGAGGAGGTTCCTGGTTCCATTCCCAGGAAGGGCTGGGAATGTTCTGTCTGAAACCCTAGGCAGCTGCTTCCAGCCGGAGTGAATCTACACTCAGGGGGAAAAAACCCAATGCTATAAATAAGTCAGAAATTAAATTGCTTAAAGCAAAAGAGAAAAAAAAAAAACCCTATGTAAAAACACTATAGAAAGGTTTTGTGCTCTCTGGCACCATCTGGTGTTGCATGTTTATTTTTATTTTTTAAAATGATATTTATTACTTTTTTAACATTTCAAACACAAAAAAAAGAAAAGAAAAAACAATGCAAATACAATACACAAACGCTACATGAACTAAAAGAACAAATAAAAACAAGCAAAACAGTTTAAAATCACCTCAAACATTTTCAATATCTTATATTTCATTCCCTTATTTCCAGCGACCTCCTCCCACCTCCCTTTTTGTATTCCACTTCTATTATTTGTTTCAGCAATTCCTTTCCATCTTACTCTGTTTTCTGTTCTATAATTATCTTAACACAGTCTTGCCATACTTTTCCTTTAATTTTCTATTAATCTATTTATACCTAATTCCTTATGACATTTCTACTAAAGCCATATAATTTCATTCCAACATTTTTCTAACATTCCTTAATTTTACAATATCTCTATAAATGGTCTTTAAACTTTTCCAATCTTCTTCCACCGACTCTTCACCCTGGTCTCGGATCTTGCCAGTCATTTCCGCCAATTCCATATAGTCCATCAATTTCATCTGCCATTGTCCAACGCTTCAATGTTTTCAAAAAGCAACCATTCTCTCAACCAGCAAAAGCAGATGGTTCACAGCAAAATTTAAAGGTCTAGCAGGGCAGGTCCTCCTCCTTCTTTGGCATCCATCAATATCTTAAGTTTTACTTGAGGCTTCCTGCCCTGCCAAACAACTCTAGGAGCATCCCTCTGCCACCTCCTGAAACCCTCCATCCCATCCAAAGCTTGCAGTGTTTGAAACGAAAGCAACATCCCCAACAACATAGCAGCCCTCATCCCCACCACAATAACTCGGCCCAACAGTGACAACTTCTCTTTCTCAACTAATGTTAGTATCGCCTCCTGAAACTCAGTCAGGCTTTCCTTTTCCAATTCAGATGGGGCTCTGGTCCTCAAATTCATCCGTTCTTCTTTAAGTTCAATCATAACGAATGTCAGTTGTCTTTGTATGGATGGGGCTCTCCTCTCCAGTTGTATTATTTTAGATTCAGCAGCAAGGGTTTCTCCCCTGAATTCATCTGCAGTTTGCCATATCGAAGTAGATTCCTGTGTCAGTTTCTGCGTGGTTTCTGAATTGGTATTCACCTTTTGTCCCAAGTTGTTTAAGCTTTCTACAGTTGAATCAATTTCAATACTTGCAACATCCAATTTCACATTTCTCGCATCTATTTTCTTGTGGAGTTGTTCCAGCGAATCGTTTATTTTCAATAATGCAGCCACTAAGGCCTCCTCTGTTGACATCGCGTCTGTTTTTTCCTTTCCGTTTGCCATAACACTTACAGAATTCAAGGTCAATTCCAAAGTCTCACACTTTCTTATCTTGCAACTGGAAAATCCCCTAGCCCAGCTCCTATCAAGTAAATTTCAAAAGCTTCCACTAGGGGAAAGCAAATTGTATTTGTATCGGTCAGTATGTCCTCTTTTGAACACAGTTTCAATAATCCAAAATTAGTTTCAATTTTCAGTTTCTTTCCTCCTTTTTTAATAAAGTTCAGTAAGATTGTTTCAATTTTTTCGTTACTTTACTCCTTTTTAAGTGCAGACGAAGACAATGGAAACAATGTATCTCTCTTATGCTAGCTGTCACCGAACGTTCTATTCGCTGTCAATGAACCTTCCAAAGCACGTCGGTTTTACTGGCAGCCCGTTTCCAGGTTCGGAACGGTGGTATTTTAACTTCCTCACTCACTCCTGCAGGAATATACAGTCCAAAGCCTCCCCCCTCTTCTCCTGCTTCCAAGGGGGGTTTAATATTTTTTACTGATGAGAATTTAGTCCTTTACAATGGGCTTTCCAAGACTTTAGCTTGCAGCCTCTTTGCCTCAGTCTTATTTACAAAAAGGGGAGGTGGACTTCCTGTTTTGAACCTCCCCCCGTTTCGGTGCCAAATTAAAATGTTTAAAAATCCAATTCTTCACTCTACTCACGGGTAGTTGCTTTAAGATCAAATTGTCCACAGGAAAAAGTCAGTGCTCTCCGGCAACAGCTATGCGGCTTCGCTTCGTGGAAGAAGCAGTCGATCCGAAGCACCGCGCTGCTCACCCCACATCGCTCCGGATCCCCGAAATCAGGTTTCCCCGCGAGTAGGGGAGGTGCAAAAGGTGCCCGCCGAATCCCACGTTCACAGGCTTCAACCGCCTGTGATTTTTAGTGGGTCTCCGCCTTCGCTGTGGCGGCCAGACCCGAATTTCCACGAGGCAAATTCCTCCCGGTCAGAGGAATTCCGCCATTGCCGGTGGCGCCAACCCGGAAGTCTGGTGTTGCATGTTTATAACACATTCAAATCACTTTTTTTTTTTTTTACTAATTTAGCTAAGTCCTGCCAATGTAGATGATACTGAGTTTGATGGACATAAGAACATATACTCAGAGTACTGGTTTCTGCCCCAGGGTTAATCAGGGTTAGTGAAACCTGCCCCTAGTGGGGGGCACAATCTCAGGCACTAGTTCTTAAAGTTATTATGGCCAGTTGGGGTGGAAACAGTGCAGTGAGTTTGGTGGAGTGACTGCTGCTAGGTGACAGTTGTGGGGGAGCCATAGGCAGTTCTGAGCAGTAGTGACAGAATAACCCTGCTTCCTCTTTTTCTCTTTCTGCTCTGCAGCCTGCTGGAATATTGGCATTTGCTCAGAACCATGGATGTCTATTTCCAGCATGGCCTACTTTTAAAACGTTTCAATCTAAGCCCTGATGTTTCAGCCATAGTTTCATTTAAAGTCACACTGTGTTGTGCACCTCCAAACAGCATTCTTATACAGTGGTACCTCAGGTTAAGAACTTAATTCATTCTGGAGGTCTGTTCTTAACCTGAAACCGTTCTTAACCTGAGGTACCACTTTAGCTAATGGGGCCTCCTGCTGCCACCGCGCCACCGGAACATAAT